GCAATTTCAAGAATCATTTTTATTTTTATTTCAAAGCCAAGGAAAACAGTTGGATTTGCTTTTCTTTGTTGGTCATGGGAAGAAGCTGAGGAGCATCACTGATTGCAGTTGAGTTCTCCAGGCCTAAAATGGCTAGAATGCTGGGGGTTATTTCTGTTGAGATGCAATTAGCTGAATAAATATCAAGAGAGCAAAAGTAAACAAACTCATTACTGCCCATTAAGAACTGCCAAACTAGCAAGAAGTGGAGGAGGGGGGTTGGAATCTTTAAGGAAAATAAATGACTCCAAGGCTAAGGCAGTGCGGAGAGAACAGCCCTTGGCGTCCGGCTGACCCAAGCGCTAGGCTGGATCGACTCTGCCTCTCACCTGCCACGCGGCTTCAGGGCAAGTCACTCAGCCTGTCTGGCTTTCAGGGTCTCCATTTATATAACATGGGGGGAATAGCACCCTCGCTGTATTACCCACGATGGGGCATCAGGCACCCAGCACAGTTGCTTGCCTACCTCCTTGCAACCCAATCAGCTCCAATTCACTCCCACTAAGCGCAGCCCCAAAGGAATGGAACAGTAAGGTCCACAATTGTGCAGCTTCAAGCTGGGTCACACCACCAGCCATGCCACCTTGGCCAACATACTTGACACCTTTCAAGCCTCAGTTTCCTAGCCCTCAAAACAGCCTACTACTACTAATTACTCTGCGCGTTGTAATGATTACATGAGATAACGTGTACGCAAAGGGCCTTGTGTACGAGTGGTCACTGTCAAGACAGGTCATCTTTTTAACTGAACAATCACAAGAAAAGCTCTTTAAAGATGGCGTAGTCTCTGACTGCGCTTGTGTCTCTTGCCTCCCAGTCTGCCCAGCGCTGTGTGAGATGCTAGGGACACCAAGCCAGTGAGGATGCGGTCTAATCAGCAGCCTGCTTCAGGGCTGGGACGTGAGGCCTGACGGACCTCCTGGCCAGAGCCCAGCTCTGTGACATGGAGCAAGCTCCTCCTCTGGGAAATGGGATAATTAATCGAGGCGTCTCCTCTGGGTGATGTGAAGGCCTGGACACGCTGCCTGCGCATCGACAGCACTCCTGTTACCCTGGCTTGGCTACCGCTAGCATGTTATCCCCACCTCTCGTTTCGGAGGCACTTCCACGTTCCTTGGCTAATGTGCAAGATGGGTTGGATCACCCTAATTCACAGAGGGGGCTCAGCCTTCAGGATCTCAAGTCTAAAGGCACAGAGCTCTGCCCAGGAAGCCGCGAGAGCCCACACCTGGGCAGGGACAGACCTCAATGACAAGCGGTGCCACCCTGCCAGGTCTTGAGGCCTGGGAAGGTTTGGAAGCCAACCCTTTCCTGGAGCCAAGATGCCTCCTTGGGCCTCTGGCAGTTTCTTGGCCAAGGCTGGGTCCCTCACCAGCATCAGCATGGGCACCGGCACTGGCTGGCAGGGAGAGGCATTTGTCACCAGCCGCCCCAGGTGAGCGTCCTGTGGGGAGGCAGTGCTGGCAGGCCTGCCCTGGCCGGAGGTGCTCCTCCCCATTGTTCTGGGTCAGGCGTGGCTGCTGGCGGCTTGGAAACCAGGCAAACACTCACAAACTCAGCCTGGTTTCCACTAACGTCACTGCAGCCCTACCTCGTAGCCCAGCCCAAGCCAGAGGCTCCCCAACACCTTTCTCTCCCGGCCCAAAAGGGCAGAGCTGGCCTGAGCTGGCCATTGAAACCACGCTTGGGCTTTCTCCTTCAAGCAGGAAACAGACCAGTCCAGGGAGTGCAGTGTCTGTCTTGCAGTTGCCCACTAGCCGGCCCACGGCAGTGCCTGGACACAGGTGCTCATTACAGAAGCCCCCAAAGGAGCAGGAAAGACAGAACCTGTAGGTTTTGTGCTGTGGTTGTTATTTAAGCATGAATTAATGTGAAATCAGAAAGTGGTGATGCTAATACTTTTTTTACTACTAAAAACCATATTAAATATATCTCTGTGTAGTTTTAAGAGTTTGAAGGTTTGAGCACATCCGACCAGGGCCAAGGCCTGGTTTTAACATCTGGCTGTGTGATCTTAGGCTAGTCGCTTAGCCTCTCTGAGTTTCAATCTCCTCATTTATAAAATGGAAAATAACAGTATCTACCTTATAAAAACATTGTGAGAATTCAATAAAGTAGAAAACGCTTGCAAATGTTTAGTGCAGAAGCAGAGACAGAGCAGGCACCTGGTAAACGGATATTGTGAATGTAATTGACAAATGTAATCCACGGCCTCTTTCTGCGCAGCTGCCTCCCAGGCAGTCGCTTGCCATGGGCTCCCCTGGCCCTGCCCGCTACATCCTCTTCATGGCACTTTCCACTGCATGATCACTGTTGGTAGGTGTGTCTTTTCATTCAGACCACAAATATTTATTGAGCCCCTGTGTATTCCAGGACATGTGCTTGGTACTGTGAATGTGGCAGTGACCAAAATAGACACCTCCATTCATAGGAGTGGGGTACAGATGTCTGATGATGATAAGGACTCTGTAGGGGCAAGGTGGTGAGGTTACAATGTTAAATAAGCAGGGAGGGCCTCACTGGGAAGATGGTGATTTCAGGAAAGACCTGAAAGAGGCAAGGGAGCAAACTGAGGAAAGTGAGGGGCGTGTTCCAGACAGGCACCAGCAAGTGCAAAGGCCCCAAGTCCAAGGCAGGCTGGGCGGGCATGAGGAACACTCAGATAGCCAGAGCAACTGGAGAGGCCGGAGCAAGGGGGGTCAGGTGAAGTCAGGGAGGGACGGGTGCCCGTCAGGAAGGCCTTAGAGACCTGTTAAGCTTTGTCTCCAAGATGAGGAGCCACCAGAGGATTCTGAGCGGAAGAGTGACCTGATATGACCTTTTTTAAAGGAGCACTCTTGCTGCTGGGTTGAGGACAGACTGTAGTGGGCAGGGGCAGGAAGGGGCAGGGAGACCAGTGGGGTCTAGACAAGGGGTGAAGGTGGGCTGTACCAGGGTGCAGGAGAGGCGAGGAGAAGGAGTAGGATTCTGGGAATATTTCCATGATATTGCTCTCATAATTGGTGGTGAATTAGATGTGGGGTATGAAAGAAAGAAAGGAGTCAAGGAGGTCAAGGCTTCAAGGTTGTTAGCCTGAGCGACTCGACTTGTTATTACTAACAGGAAAAACTGGGACAAACAAGTTGGGATGGAGATGGGGGGACCCCAGGAGTTCACTTCTGGATAAGATAAGTTTGAGATGCCTAGCAGATAGTTGAGTGGAAACCTTGAGGAGGCGGCTGGATGTATGAGTCTGGGGCCAAGGGGGATGGTCCAGGCTGGAGAAGTGAGTGTGGGAGTCATCGGCACTCGGAGGCACGCAAAGCCACAAGACTGGAGGAGATCACCAAGGTAAACAAGAGATCTGAGAACTGAGCCCCGCGCCTCCCGGGACAGGAACGCGAGGACGAACCAGCAAAAGAGACAAAAAGAGCAGCCAAAATGAGACAGGAGGAAAGGGTGTTCTAAGGAGGAAAGGAAGTCTAAGAAGGGGTGACCGGCCAGGTGCCACAGAGCGGAGAGGCAAAGTATCAAGGGGACCAAGAACTGGCCATTTGTTCTGGCAAGTGAGGACGCAAGTGATCAGGCCTAGAGCACTTGGAGTGGCGGGCAGGGGGCCAGGCCTGCTGGGAGTGGGCTCAAGAGACAACAGGAAGAGGGACTTTCTGCCAACAGGGTGTATAGGCAACTCTTCGGAGAGCTTCGCTGAAAAGAGGAGCAGAGAAATGCAAGAGTGGTTGAAGAGGGGATGTGAGGTCAAGAGGAAATCCTTAAAGAGGATTTTCTTTAAGTTGAGAGAAATAACAGTGTGATTGCAGGAAAAATATGATCGTGGAGGAGACATGAGAGAGAACTGCTGGAGCGATGTCCTTGAGTGGTAAGAGGAGCATCTGTGCACGTCCGTCCCCTCCCTCTTGGCCTGGCCACTCCTGCTCATCCCTCAAGGGTCAGTGTAAAGGGCACTTTCTCAGGGAAGTGTTCCTGACCCCGCTGGTTAGGTCAGTTCCCCGCTATACCCTTTCGCTTAGGGCCTGGGTAATGACCAGTAAGCCCTGTGAAGGCAGGGCCTGGCTCTGTCCTGTTTGCAGCTGGGTGTCCAGCAGCCAGCACACTGCCCGGCATACCGCAGATGTTTGACGGATATTTTTCTGGAGGATATAAAGGAATGAATGGCCCAAGAATAGAACTGAAACAAATCCGGAGTCACATGTCTGTTCTCTGCTCCTGCCTGCTTTAATCACGTTGCAATGATCACTACTGGCTAGTGCAAATATTTGGATTTACAAGAGCTCAGTTGTTTGTTCCTGTTGGAACACAGCTTGGCTAACACAGACCAAAGCCATGTGACTGGACACATCCTTCCATTGACACTGTCCACTACAAACTGAACACAGTCCATGCCGTGCCCAACAATTCATTCATCTCACGAGTATTTGCTGAAAGCCTGCTTATCCAGGGGCTACAGGATTGGATCAGACACAGTGCCTGCCCTCATGGAGTGTAGAGTCCAGCAGAGGAGATCACAGAGAATTCCAGTGCATCGCAACCGTGATAGGCGTCACAGAGGTCAAGTCCAGGGGGTTACGAACATGTAGAACGGGGGAGCTAAACAGTCTGAGGAGTGCGAGGCAGAAGAGAAGGAGACGGGACGACCCTCCCCCTGCCTTGCCACCCTACTGCATGCCACGCTGCCCTCGGGTGCTCCTCGGGCTCCGGCCAGGAGCTCAGCAAGAGGGCTGCGGGCACGGGAGCTGCTCCAGGCGTGCAGGGCCGCGGCCTCCTGCCTTCAGATGCCCCGATCCCCTCCCTTTCCCTTTCTGCCTCTGCTGGGGCCTGCCTGTCTCCTGTTGCTTCCAGAAGGCCTGCCTCCTGAAGCTGCATTTTTGGAAAGATCTGCTTGGCGAGAAGGCTGAGCTCATGATGGCTCTGGCCACTGGCAGTGAGAGGACCCTTACTGAGTCTCCCCTTATGTTTACTTTCAGGCTTTCACAGGCTCTGATCACGAAGAGGGACCACCATTTTGCAAGAACCATGAGGTCACTGTGCGTGACATACTGGTGGCTGGGACTGCTGGCTGCCACGGGAGTGGCTGCAGGCCAGAAGGATGATTTTGAGGGCACCGAGGAGGGCTCGCCCAGAGAGTTCATTTACCTGAACAGGTACAAGCGGGCTGGCGAGTCCCCGGACAAGTGCACCTACACCTTCATTGTGCCCCAGCAGCGGGTCACAGGCGCCATCTGCGTCAACTCCAAGGAGCCTGAGGTGCTCCTGGAGAACCGAGTGCATAAGCAGGAGCTGGAGCTGCTCAACAGCGAGCTGCTCAAGCAGAAGAGGCAGATTGAGACGCTGCAGCAGCTGGTGGAGGTGGACGGGGGCATCGTCAGTGAGGTGAAGCTGCTGCGCAAGGAGAGCCGCAACATGAACTCGCGGGTCACGCAGCTCTACATGCAGCTGCTGCACGAGATCATCCGCAAGCGGGACAACGCGCTGGAGCTCTCCCAGCTGGAGAACAGGATCCTCAACCAGACGGCCGACATGCTGCAGCTGGCCAGCAAGTACAAGGACCTGGAGCACAAGTACCAGCACCTGGCCACGCTGGCCCACAACCAGTCGGAGATCATCGCGCAGCTGGAGGAGCACTGCCAGCGGGTGCCTGCGGCCAGGCCCGTGCCCCAGCCGCCCCCCGCCGTCCCGCCCCGGGTCTACCAGCCGCCCCCCTACAACCGCATCATCAATCAGATCTCCACCAACGAGATCCAGAGTGACCAGAACCTGAAGGCGCTGCCGCCCCCTCTGCCCACCATGCCCATCCTCACCAGCCTTCCGTCCTCCACTGACAAGCCGTCGGGTAAGTCCTCCCGGAGCCTGCATCTGGGCCTCGGAGCCAGGCGCCAGGCTCCTCCTGGCTGAGGCCACAAGTGGGGGAAAAGCCACGGCATGTTGAAGCCAGGCCAACAGACTTGCGCAACCCCCCAGCCATCCCTTGGGCCGGCCACTGGAGCCGGTGGGGTGAGAGGGGGACCACATGCCTTATACGGGTGCTCCAAGGTAGAACCAGGAAGCGGGGGAGGTTTCTCTGGCTTCTGACAGGGAAGAACCCAGGCCTGTAGCCTTCTGGGCCCTGCACTAGCGGCTCTGTGCTGGCAAGCAGGCTGCCTCTCCTGCGAGCTCCTGGACTGTGCCGGGCCCAGAACTGGCATTCAGTAAATGCTCACCCAAGAAACAGGGGATGAAGGAAAAGAAAGTGTTATCATGGTAAAAGTATGATAAATGCATCATAGGGGCTGGGGGTTGGAAAGGAGTGCTTTCTAAAGCCCACGTGTTTCCTAGAGTCTGCTGCTGTCTAGAATCCCAATGATGACTCCATATACTCTTAAATACATGTTCCATGTTAAAATGTGGTAGTTCTCAGAATATCATTATGGGGGAAGAATGGGACTGCTGGTAGGTTTGGAAGCTTGCCCGAGGCACGGGCGCTGGGCACGGTCACAGATATTACATCATTTACCCCCGCTGCTCCTTACATAAGGTTAACTGAGAGGATAGGTATCTTGCTCACAGGCTTAGAGTCCCCTCAGGCCAGATCTGAATTCAGGCCTTTTCACTTTAAATCTAGGGCTGTGTCCTCTGTGCTCTGGGGGGCTACCCCCCTCCATCCTGGGGGAAGCATGGACCGAGCCCCCTGAAGCTCAGCCTTTCATTCATCCAGGACCCTGTGAGTCTCCCAAATGGGCTGTCATATGAGCAATGGATTTGTCTTTGCAAAACCTAACCATGTATCTGCTCCAAGGCAGTGATTTTGGTACCACTTTGTTGTATAAGCAGGGAGATATTTTTACTGAAAATATCCTGTTTTATATTTATTTCACACTTCTGAAAATAACCATCAGTACTGGGATGAACAGCTTCTTGCTAATTCAGAGAGGGGCTGGACCTCAGTGCAGGAGGGTGGCCCAGGCAAAAGACAAGGCTGGCATTGTGTGCGGGTCTGAGGGGGGGGCATCTGCCTGCAGCACCTCGTGGGAAACTGGGTGTGCAGGTTGGGAACCCAGGCTTCGGAGCAGACTTAGCTGGACTGAATTCTGGTTCGCCCGCTGATGAGCTCTGGGACACCAGGCAAAGCACTTTGCCCTTTAGCCCCTTAGTTTCCTCATCTGTCAGTTGGGGACAGATTAAAATAATGCCTACCAGAGGGCTTTGTGCTAAATGAAGGAAGTCAGAGAAAGACCAATACCATATGACTTCACTTACATGTGGAATCTAAAAACTCAAACAAACAAAACAGAAATAGAGTCACAAACACAGAGAAGAGACTGGTGGTTGCCATAGGGGAGGGAGGTTGGGAGAATGGGTGAAATAGGTAAAGGGAAAAAAAATCGGTGAAAAAATAAAATAATGGCAACCTGAGGATTAAATGAAATATTGCAAAAAAATGTGTTTAGTGTAGGGCTGGGCCCGTGGTTAAGTCTTGATACATGGTAGCTATGAGCCTGATCTTGGTTTCTTCATCTTAAAACAAGGAGATTGAAAGAAATAAACAGTCTGTTTTTAGCTCTGGCATTCTACAGCTGATGACTAGTTCTTCTGTACATGCGTCTGTTTTAAATCAGAAGGTCTGAAAGAGGGCAGAATGTGAGAATATGTTTTGATGGAATACCCACTGGTAAAATGTGCCCCTGGGCACCAAAGGAAGGCTCACCTGAATACTATTATAATCCATATGTGAGTCAGGCTGACCTGAATGGACCCAGTAGATCGCCTCTCACCTAAGCCATCTCTCTTACCTGCCTCAACAATTTCAGGACATTCCTGAGCTTTAACTGAGCTGATAGATAATAGCATAGAAATAGAAACCTTAAGTTTGCATCTACCCCTTGTTAGCTGTTTGCTCATGAGAATATCACTGACCTCCTCTGAGCCTCAGTGTTCTCCTCTATAATGGGGACGCATCATAATATTGCAGGGATATTGTGGAAACTCAGTGCAGTTAAGCATGTGATAGTACATCGCGTGGGGCAGCCAACAGTGGTGGAGCCCCTCCTCTGTGCTGCTCACAGCGCTGGACATAGGGGGACAGGCGAGAGCTATCCCTGACCTCCAGGAGCTTGGTCTGAGGGAGGCGGCAGACGCATGGATGCATTGGCATCTCTTCACTGCCCACTAGTTCCATCCCCTAAAATCAGCACATCAGGTCTGACAGAGTATTTCTCCGAGAGGGACCATCTACCAAGACCAAAATCTCCAGAACGTTGTGAGAATTTATGGGACTAACTTAACAAAGTATCTGAAATCAGGAATGCAGTTGAAATCATGGGCTGGGGGGGTCACTGTGATGATACCATGGTGTGCTAAGTGCCCCACAGAGGGGCAAATGAGGGGCTGTGGGGACACTAAGGGGGCACGATTAAGTCTTCCTGGAGGAGAAGGGAAAAGTTGGACAGAGGTGGGGACTCTGGTGTTCCATCTTAAAGGAGCTGTAAGAGTTTACCAGGTGCATTTGGGAGTCAGGAAACCAATTTACTAGTGGGTCCTTGGTGGAGATGAGTTCATGCCAAGATCTGGGACACAGCCCTACACCTGGCACCTCAAATGGTTCAGATCTCCTGCTTCTTTGCATTTGCAATCCAGCATGGGCCGGGTGCAGTCCCAGACGCCTGCACACCCCCAGTCTACTTTGTCTCCCGCTTAGGAAAGCATGTCAGCAGCTGTTATGGAGATGAGGTGAATGCGCCTAATTCACCTTTTGTTTTTTTTTTAAGCAAAGCCCTCCCAAATGTTGGTCCTGATTGTTGGTAACAGATTCATAGTTAGTAAGAGACCCATCTCGCCACTGAGCTCCCACACAAGGCGTTACCAGCCGGGGTTGAGCACTGGGCTGTGGAAGCACGTGGTAGACAGAGCCCTGAAGATCTGGGGAGGCCCTGTTCTTTCCTGGTGTTGGGGCAAGTGGGCAGATGGTGTCTCTCCGCCAATCAGCACAGAGCTCTCATCAGGCCTGTTCTGGAGCCTGGGGCAGGTTCTGGCCCTGGAAGACAAACCCTTCCTCTGTGCTCTCCCCAGACAGATCCTTTGTTACCTGCGACATCACTCGGGGCCAGAAACACCTTTGCAAATAAACTCCTTGGCACTCAAGGCTTGGCGCTTCTAAATCTGTCATTCCACAGGCTCAGAGCCGTCTGCTCCCTGCCTCGCTGTCGGGGCTGCTCAGCCACAGCACGCCGGTCCCCAGGGGGCTGAGGGAGCCAGGGCCGTTTATCTGAAGCTGTGCTTTCCAGCTTGCTCCCAGCCAGCCAGTAACAGGACGGCCCCAGGCCGCTGAGAGCCTGAGGGAGGGAGGCCCAGGCCGCTCCTGGCTTCCCTGGCGTCTCACTGGGTCTTGTCCTGTGTCTGTCAGGTCTGACCAGACCTGGGGCATTTCAGTCAGGACGGTGTTTGTGCTGAGGCCTGTGGCCCTCTTCGCCTTCTCACACTCACACATCCCCTGCGTGCCCTTCACACACACGTGCACACACATGTGCGTGCATGCGTCCATCAGGTCTGTTAAAGAAGAAGGCTACAGGAGTCACTCTCTAAGAGGCAAACGACAGGACAGGACGGGGCCTCGGCTCCAGGATGGTTCTGGGAGGCCTGAGACATGACTCCTCAGCTTAGCCCAGGGACAGCCACGCACAGGTGTGCCCTTCTGCCACGGCACCGATCTGAGACACTCATCAGAGGAGAAAAGGCAGTGCTGCTACCAGCTACCACAGCGAGGCCTTGTCTGAAACAAACCTTTAAAAACCAAAAGGAGCAGACATTTCTAGCTATTTTCTCTCTTGAGAAAGAGAATATCATCAGCCTGGTGTGTTTCTCAGTGGATAATAAAGGAGCCATAAAATTGTAAAATATTAAAGCTTGTAGAGGCTTCTCAGATCCCCTAGCACAGCCCTCCTGTCCCAGAGCCAGTCAGTGGGAGAGCCAAGATAGTCCAGGACTTGTAACTTCCAGGATATTGAAGTTCTGAGAGGTTAAGTAACTTAGCCAAGATCACACAGCTAGTAAGTGGCTCAGCCAAGGCACACACCCAAATCTGCCTTAAACTACTCTGGGATACTACACATTTCCATGGAAAGGCCAGAGGGGACCTGGTGTGAAAATCACTCTATAAATGCTTGCCTTGGTCAGGTGCCAGCTGCCTGGGACATTACCCTCCATCACTATTTCATGGATCAGGATATGAGCAGTAACTTGTAAAAGGGTGCTGGGGACAGAGTTAGGAGATTTGTCATTAGAATTCTCACAGCTCTGATAATGCATGACACGCACCGGCATGGTGAACGCACTGGTCTCACGCCGCCCACTCCTGCAGGCTCAGGAGGAACCCATTGAACCAGTCTTCCATGGCCAGCTCACCAGTCAGTCACACAGATGGACTGTTTTGGTGAGTTTATGCCGTAGACTGTATCAGAACCCTGAGATGCTGCCAAAAATTAAAAAAATAAAAAAGGTAAAGCAGAATAAACTTGGCCTCATACTACAGAGTAAAAAAACTAAGCACTCCCACAAAAACATAATACGACCTGAATCCTGGTAAGTGGACAGGCTGCAGCTATAGATAAGCCTGATTTTTAATTTGTATCAAATCTGGGCAAATTCTCTGGGGTTACTTTTATGCAACATTTCAATATACAGCTAATGCCGAAGTCCTGATTTCTCTAAATACGTTAATTCTAAATGTTAGAAATCAGTGGATTGGACAGGTCTTGGGGCCACACTGGGTGGCAGCTGGGCTGTCTTACTGGTAACGCTAGTGACACATGGAAGCCATGCCTCCCTCACAGCAGATGGTGTAGGCCAGGGAGGCATGCA